TCTCTATGTCAAGTGCTCACCTAAGTCACTCTGGGGGATATAAAGGATCTTCATGAATATAAACACCAAAAGAATTGCAAGAAAAGCCCAAATTGACAAATGGGATCTAATTCAACTGAAGAGCTTCTGCACAGCAAAAGAAAACTACTGTCAGAGTGAACAGCAACCTACAGAATGGGAGAAAATGTTGCAATTTATCCATCTGATAGAGGTCTAATATGCAGAATTTACAGGGAACTTAAACAAATTTACAAGAAAAAACAAACAAACAACCCCATCAAAAAGTGGGCAAAGGATATGAGCGGAGACTTCTCAAAAGAAGACATTTACACAACTAACAGACATATGAAAGAAACCTCAACATCACTGATCATCAGATAAATGCAAATTAAAACCACAATGGGATAACATCTCATGCCAGTCAGAAATGGTGATTATTCAAAAGTCAGGAAACAATAGATGCTGGAGAGGATGTGGAGCAATAGGAACGCTTTTACACTGTTGGTGGGAATGTAAATTAATTCAACCATTGTAGAAACAGTATGGCAATTCCTCAAGGTTCTAGAGCCCGGAATACCATTTGACCAGCAATCCCATTACTGGGTATATACCCAAAGGAATATAAATCATTCTACTATAAAGACATGTGCACACATATGTTTACTGCAGCACTGTTTACAATGACAAAGACATGGAACCAACCCAAATGCCTATCCATGATAGACTGGACAAAAAAAATGTGGTGCATATATACACTGGAGTAGTATGCAGGCATAAAAAGGAATGAGATCATGTCCTTTGCAGGGAGATGGATGAAGCTGGAAGCCATCATCTTCAGCAAACTAGCACAGGAACAGAAAATGAAATACTGCGTGTTCTCACTCTTAAGTGGGAGTTGAGCATTGAGAACACATGGACACAGAGAGGGGAACAACAAACACCAGGGCCTGTTGGGGGTGGGGGTTGGGGGAGGGCAAGGAACTTAGAGGGTGGGTCAATAGGTGCAGCAAACCACCATGGCACATGTGTACCTATGTAACAAACCTGCACATTCTGCACATGTATCCACCCCCCTTTTTTTAGAAGAAAAAAAAAAAACTCTCTAAGAAAAAAGACAACCAAATTAAAAAATAAAAATGGATTTAAATAGCCATTTTACCAAAGAAGAACACATAGCAAAGAAGCAAATCAAATAACGTTCTATATATACTTATTAAAGAAATGTAAATTAAAACTATAATGAGATGCCACTACACACCCATTAGAATTTCTAAAACTGAAAAGACTGATTCTACCATGTGTTATTAAGGATGTATAGTCACTTGAGCTCACATACATTGTGGGCAAACTGTAAAATAGTATAACAACTTTGGAAAATAATTTGGCACTATCCTAAAAAGATAAACATATAGCTATCATATGATTCAGTCATTCCACAACTTTATATTTACCTGAGAAAAATGAAAGTAGTTGTTCATACAAACACTTACTGGTACATGAATGTTCATAACACCATTATTTGTAATAGCCTCAAACCAGAAACAACCTAGATGTCCATTAACAGGCAAATAGATAAAGAGATTTGGGTATGTACATATAATAGAATAGTATTATTCACTGTAAAAAGGAACAAACTATTAATATGTACAAAAACATGGATGAATCTCAGTAGTTTTGCTGAGTGAAAGAAGCCAACCCCCCTCCACCCCCAAAAAAGAGTACATACTGTATGATCCACTTATATAAAATTAGAAAGTACCAACTTGACAGAGAGCAGATGACAGGAAGTGGATCAGTGGTTGACTTGGAGTCAGAGAATGGGTACAGGGAGTAAGTGTGAGGGGTTACAAAAGGGCATGAGGAAACTTTTGGAGGCAATAGATATGTTCATTTTTTTTCTTGTGGTTTATTATTATTGAGTTTATAGATACACAAAAACTTACCAAGTTGTTCACCTTAGATATGTTATTATATGGGCTGGGCATGGTGGCTCACACCTGTAATCCCAGCAATTTGGGAGGCCTGGGAAGGCAGATTACTTGAGCCCAGGAGTTGGATACCAGCCTGGGCAACATAGTGTGACCCTATCTCTACAAAATATGTGTATTTTTAATTAGCTGGGCACTGTGGCATGTGCCTGCAATCCCAGTTACTGGGAAGGCTGAGGTGAGAAGATCACTTGAGCCCGGAGGTCAAGGCTCCAGTGAACCCTGTTTTTACCACTGGACTTCAACCTGGGTGACAGAGCAAGATCTTGGCTCAAAAAAGACAAAAAACAAAAACAAAATCAGTAAATAAATGTCAATTATATCTCTATAGAGCTATTTAAAAACAAACAAAATCATTTAAAGCTCACCTTCTCTGGAACTGAAATTTTCTGCACCTGAAGTTTTTCCTGAGTACTTCTGGATTCTCTGGTCTACCACTCAGCTCATTTCAGATGCCTCCGAGTCTACTCTCCCTGCCAAGAGACCCTCCAGCTTAGCATTAGCTTTTCCAGCACACTGAACCATGCATTTGATGGTCTATATGTATTTGTTATCTTGTCAGGCTATTATTAAACGTATTTGTCCTTCATTCATATGTCACATGGACTCTCTTAAACACTTTATGAATTCTGTGTGAGTGCCATAATATTTTATGAGACTAAACTATGAACAGAGAGTTAAATATTCAGAAAACATCAGATCTCCAGAACTAGGCAGGAAAAGAAAATTGGAAATAGTAATGTCATCGAACAAACCAGTGATCAAATAACCTTAAACTATTTTTCTTAACACAGCGGATATTAGAACAAATAAGCCTACAAACGATAAAAGTTACAGCCTCCAGTTTCCTTCTTCTGATGTAGAATTTCCACCCAAGGAGTTTCGACAAGACAAAAGCAAAATTGCTCAGGTAATTTAGCCCCCACTTTTGCCAAGGGCTTTTGTTTATATGTATTATTACTCTTAGTAGCAATTTATTTGAACAAAGTTTATGTTGTTAGTAGTTTTTCATTTTTTTTAAACTCAGTGCGGTAAAATGTAAATGATTATAGACCATTTGGTTTTCTGATTTTCATCTCTATTAATAATTATGCCAATTATTCCCAAATATAGTAATTTGTATTACTTAATCCTTATAGAAAGCAAATGAGGTTTTCCTAGTTACACTTCTTTTTGTTTGGCCAACAAATAGTTCACTAAAAATGGAGAACTTCTGCTTATTTAGAAAAATTAACAAAGCAGTTAACGGACTTTCCAATACTATCATAATTTACTCTGCAAACATAATGACACTGTGATTTTGATTTTGTTTAAAAGTGTTATTAAATGAGAAATAAAAATTTTAAAAGCCTACATGATAAATCTCAGTACCAAGTAAGTTGTGTTTACACTGTCTCAACCCTTGGGAGAACCGTGAGGCTCTATAGCTATATACGCTCCCTCACCTTATTCAAACTACATAGGTTTAGCCATAGGCTCCAGAAGTTGCACAGCATTGGGGCCCAGGCTGGGCTTTCCAGCACCTTCCAGATAGGTTTAGTTATAGGCTCCAGAAGTTGCACAGCACTGGGGCCCAGGCTGGGCTTTACAGCACCTTCCATCCACACGCATTGAGCCAGTGGCTCAGCAAAACTTTTGGGGAAGCCCTTTAGGCCAGCTCATCTCTTGGGGTAGGAGGACCTAGGGGTTCCTCTTAAAACTGCATGTATAAGGCAGTGTCTTCTTCCATGGCTGAGATGGGTTGAATTGTGGGAGGCTGAGGATACGCAGAAGCAATACATCTAACATGATATGGTCAAAAATACTGCATAGATGTCTTAAACATGTAGAAGCCCGATGGTACATCTTTCCAAAACCAAAAGTTATGCTTTCTCACCTCCTCTCAAAATTTTCAAGCCTGATTGACCATGTTCATTTACATAAAGAAACCAGGCATCTGTTTAAGTTTACTAGCAAGTCTTCCCTCATTCTTCCATCCTCCACTTCAGTATACTGGAATTGAAATCCTGAGTACCATGACTAGGCTAGTGAACCTAGGACCAGCAGTCTGTTGGGGTTTCTTCTAAGCTGTTCATGAAACTTATCATCACAGCCTCTAGGTTGGTGTCCTTGCTCATCGGAGTTTAATATCCATCGGATGTAAAAATCCTTGGGCTTGGGGGAGGTGCCCTGGGTCCTTGTGTTCATGACCTGTTATTAATTTCCCAATTGTGAGACCAAAGCAAGTCCAGCACTACATGCAGGAGCAGTAGCTGGAAAACCTGGAGCTGGGACTTCCAGTAGTAGATGGAATAGGTAAATTGAGAGAATACAAGATTGTAGAAACAAGACCAAGAGGACCATAGCCAAAGACAAAGTTCAAAGCATGCAAATAGGAGTAGAAGCAGCAAGATTGCTAACCATGGAAGCTGGAAGCAAAACATCATTAAATGGGAAGGCTGGATAGAAAACCAAAACAAAAAACAATTCCCAAACCATGGCACTCTCGTTTTATATAGTGGTTGGTTGTAAGAGAGGACACTGTTTTGCAAAGGATCCACAGAGAGCCACAAAGTGCCATTAACTAAAATATATATATGTTCATACCAAATAAACTAGTAGTCTCATTCATGGGAATTTATAGAAAGAAATAACTCAAAACAACACCACTATTTGTGAGAGCTTCTTCACAGATTTTTTAAAGTATATGCCAAACATAGAGGAATAAATGAAAATCTGTGGACTGTTAAGTTAATAGTATGTTATACAAACATTCAAGCAAGTGGCATCAAGAACATGTAATAACATGGTGTAACAGTGTAGCAGTAAGAAGCAGGAGGAGATAAAACTGACCCCTGAAGAGCCCAGCTGATCCTGTGTGATTGGTGTATTTCTGGAGAGTTACGTGTAGATAATATTTTACAAAGCAAACCTATCATTTTATGTAATCTACTATCACACCTTCACCTGTACATGACAGAAACTTCTAACACTGGCTCTAAGTTTCACTGGGAATTGCTTCTTCTACAACTTTTTAGATAGATACTAAAGTAAATTTTTTGTTGAGCAAGCAAATATTCAAAAAGAGAATATTCTGCCTTCCACCATTTAAAAAAAAAAATCCAGTGTCATATAATTAAATCTGGCTTTCTTAAAGTGTGGCAAACTATTTGTAATATTCATCCCACCTCTCCAATCCTTGGTTAACCTCCTCTAATTTTCTTCCATAGCTTTCCAAGATTCCCATCCATCACCCCTCTGCCCAGTGGGAAAGGCGCTAGTGATCATCAGTTCTCACTCAGACCTTAGTCTTAGTTCTGCCTTATGACCAAAAAGCAATACTCCATCCCTTTAAAGAAAGTGCAGAAAAACTTTTATTGGTGAGATTGGGTATCCTCTGTACTTGGGAGAATGACTATTTTTTCTCCGTATAAAGGCAAAAGGAGAAAATTTGGCTCGTTTATCTTTCTTTAATTGAGAAATCTATAATCAATGTGATTTTGTTCAAATTTTACAGTCCATGGAGAGTCCTCTAACCTTAACAAGGCATTATTTGAATTGTAGTTCTTGCACCTCGATCATGGACATAAAGGCCTTTTATTTCTTTCTGCTTCCTGATCCCTTTCTGTAAAAGAGGAAAGTCCATGCCTTTGAGTTCGCTTGACTTCCTTACCCTGTCCCCTCCTGCATCTTCTGCTTTCTTCATACTTGTTTCTGATCTGAGTAAACTCATTTCCAAAACTGAAGAAATTCATGATAATATTTGAACAGCTGAATTGCTTTAAAATCAGAAGAAAAAAGTTAAATATAATTTCACTTGGATTATAGTCATTTTTGTACCAACATTGTTGTAAAATATAATTTTTAATATTTTTTCATGGAGGAAGGAGACTCCAATGAGATGTATATGGACCATGGAAGTCTTGTGGCGCTGCCTGGCTCTTGAGCATCTGCCACCATGTCTGAGTTTAGCTGTCTTATGTTGGTGTGAATAAGCCCTGAGGTCATGACTATCCTTTGTGGTTGCAGAGAGTAGGGCAAACCTTACTGCCTTCCCTGCTGACTGACTTTGTGTGGAGTCTCCTGATGAAACTCTCTTCACCTGATGATAAAATCGCATCTGATGCAGCATCCATACTGAAGTTTACTCTGGAATTTCATGCCGAGAAGGTCACCAGGGTAAGATACTTGACAATAAACAGGAGAGCACAGGGTTTACTCTCTAATGTGCATTTTTGCCTTTGTTGTATGTCCACTTCTTTTTATATGTACTTCTTGTCATTGTTCATTATATCACTTTAATATAATGAGGCTTTAGGTTTTTTAAATTTTACCTAGAGATAGGGTCTTGTTCTGTGGCTCAGGCTAGAGTGCAGTGGTGAAACCTTGGCTCATGGCAGCCTCAAACTCCTGGGCTTAAGCAATCCTCCCACCTCAGCCTCCTAAGCAGCTGGGGCTACAGGCATGTACCACCACACCCAGCTAACTTTTTAAATGAATTTTTGTAAAGATGGAGGTCTTGCTATGTTGCCCAGGCTGGTCTCAAATTCCTGGGTTCAAACAACCCTCCCACCTTGGCCTCCCAAAGCACGAGGGTCACAGGCATGAGCCACAATGCTGGCCTGAGGATTTTTTGTGTGAAATATTTCAAGCATACGAACAATTTTAGAGAGTAGGTAATGAATGCTTATCCACCAATCATATGACATCATAATATTTTGCCATATTTGCTTTCAAATTTTTAAAGAAATACATTAATGCAATAAAATAGTATAGCTGTAATAGAAATCCCCTGTGTATCCCTTAAGGAAAGATTCAAAGACCCTCAGCTTGCCGTAGAGCTGGCTACATAATTTGTGGGGCTCAGTGCAGAATGAAATCTGGGACTGCTTCCTCACAACATAGGAAATAATGTCATTAAATGTGTAAGCACATGCAGTGTTTGCCTTTCCTCCACAGTCTCTCTCTCTCAATTCTTCATGCTGGTTTTATTTGCTATTTAATGTCTTTCTAAGCAAAAAGAACAATTAACATTTTTTAGTCGTGAGCAGATTTTACTATCCATACATATATTGTGCAATGCCAGTTACAAAGGTAAACATAGGAGCATTTAGCTCATGTGCAGAATCACCAAAATAATGCTATTTGTGTTTCACAGCTCACACATGCATATGTATTAAATTCTTTCCAAAAGGATGGAAATACTCCATAAAACTAGCTCAACTTCTAAAATTTCACTTTTTATCATTCACATATCCTACCAACATTCTCTACCCTCAGCTTATTGATGAGTAAGGAAAGCCTGAAAGGAAAATAATTTACGGGCTACCCTTTCTGTTTCCTTCTATGTCATTTTCAGACTAAGTGGGAATTTTTAAAGTAGGTTACAGTTTCAATAAGATGCTTATCTTGTTTTCCCACTGAGCTTCACATCCTGGGTCCCCTGGAATTTTGTGAACACCATGTGTGAAGGGGACCATAGGAACAATGGCAGACTCACTTATTGTATCTCCTCTGCTCACTGTCCCATGGGATTTGATTTACAAAATACAAAGATAAAATTGTTTAAAAGTTCAAGGTGATAGTGGCAGAGCTTTAAACAAAGTAAGGGTACCTTCTCAGCATGGAGCCTTGCGCAAACACATAGGTCACAGGCCCATGAAACTAGCCCTGATGGTGACATGAGGAACGAACCTCCAGCTCCCTCTCCTGACACAGGAGTGCAAGGTGACTGAAAATAATCTGAGAAGTCTTACTCAAATTCCTAGAGCAGGAAAGGGGAGGCGATGCTTTATATAGAACTGTCAATGCTGCTGCAGATGGGAGCATTCTGTAGGGCAAACACAATCACAGGGAAAGGTGAAGGGCAAAAGTCATCTTACAAAATAGAGCTCTCTTCTAGTGAAGTGGGAAAGAGCACTTGAAGGAAGGCGAGATGAAGCTTTACCAAGTCCCTGAGAGGAAGAGAGACCAAACAGAAAACTAGATGTGTAAAACTAGCCTCTGCTACAGTGAAATCTCTAACCACAGAAAAAAAATGAACAAAATGGGCACCTCAATTTATGACCCAACCCCAGCTCCCACAAGCAACTGGACTACTGAACACAGTGGATTCTTGTCTTAGATGGGGTTGGGTTCTAACAAGAGTTATAAGGCTAAAAATATCCCTAAAAATCCCCTAAATTCCATATATAGTATATGGGCTTATAATCTCTAAATAATCCTAACACATCAAATATTTCATCAAAATTGAAACAGACTATCATTTTTACAACTGGACATAAATTGGCACAAATTTCTATAATTAAGCACCCAGTGACATAGGTGGCTTGCTTTAGAGGTATCTGCATTTAAAATAAGAAGAGGACAACTAGAAGAAGCTCTAAATCCTATAGTTAAAAAGGTCTATGGAAAAGAGTAGTTTGAGATCTCTCATTTCTTGCTCACATTGGAACCTATGTGGTTGGAAAAGTACCCTGCACTTTTTAACATTTTATTTATAATTTTTTCTTTGGTTTGCCATAGAAAGTTGTACAGATAACTGAACTGTATATGATGTAACTGCAGGGTAATGTAAATTTGCATTAACTAATTTTTCAGCTTATAATCTCTGTTAGTCTAAAATTTATGATCCAGGATCACAAGAAATATTTAAGAAGAAAAAAATGCAAAGGATTATTTTCAAGATAAGAAGTGAGATGATCTGGGTGGATTAAATTTGATATTGAATACACAACCACTGATTTGAGACAAATTTCAGATCCAGCTAGAACTCTCCTTGTTCAAGAATGAGTAAAAAGGCGGAAAAATGAAATTAACATGGGACCTATGAGTAGAGTTTGCAAGATTATGGGTTGGTGTTTACCATTCTGGGTCATTCCTCCGACACATCATTCATCCCTTCAATATGTGGATTCAAATCATCTTTAACTTTCAAACGTTTCTTTGAAGTATACACTGTAGTTCCATTGCTATTCTGTTCCATTATTTTGATTTTCTTCTTTAAGTACTTGAATTATATGTATGTTTCCTATACTGAGTTTATATTTCTTATATAATGAGTTCAACTCTCCCAAAATAAACTTTGAAAGAAATGGGCATTTTCCTGCTATTCGTAAATGCACAGATTTAGTCTTCATCCAAATGAATATTTTGCATTGTGTAGTAACACATATAAATATGCTTTCTACTAGTGCTTATTTGTGTGTTAGTTGCTGCCTTGATAATTCTGAGAAAAAGTGAATTCTTATATCCAAGAAATGCCTTGGTTTAGAGGTGACCATGGAACAGGAGATTCTTGTTTACCTGTGGAATTTCTCTTCCAGGTGTCTAAGATTGTGGATACTATTTATAGGCAATTGTGTGATAACAATTGTATGAAGGATGTTATGTTGCGGGTTATCACTTTGTTATCACGTACTTCACCCAAGAAGGTCATCTTTCAACTTATGGACTACTCAGTTCCAGCAGGCGAGTAAGGCCGCCCAACCCTTTGTCCCCTTCCATGAGGACTTGTTCACAGGCTCCACTGTCAGGTGGACCTGGGTTTAAACTCTCAACCTACCATAGTCAGGTCTGGTTTCTTTTTTCTGAAAGAGAAAAATGTATTTGTGCATCATGTGGGATGATTGTAAGACTTAAATAATATCATATGTGTTATGCATATCTTTGTATAATACCTAAAACACAGTAGGCCCACAAGAAATGACCAATGTCACTATTATTTATCTGAGGTTTTAAATGGTATTTTGTTGCATATCTCAGAGGAACAAACCTCTCCTCAATGTGATAACGGATTTTTATTCCCATTTGTGAATTTACTCATTTTTGTTGAGAAAATAAATTTGTACATGTAGTGTTTTTTCTTGTTTATGAAAGACAGACATAAGATATTTCTACATCCCAATAATAAGCATTAAAATTGGGAGTCCTGTGTCCTTTAACTATTAGACTGAAATTTATGATCCAGGATCACAGGAAAAGTTTAAGAAGAAAAAAATACAAATGTGAGCTTATGGGACAATATGAACCTAACAGGCACATTAGAGAGTTTAGAAAAATCACACCACTCCATTTCTACAATTTGCATAAACATTGGAAATCAAGGTACTACTTCCTACCATGAACAGTGTAAAAGCGAGAGTTTATTATGAAGAGGACTTGGGCTTTGGAAACAAATGAATCTGTTTCCATCAACTTTGACGCTTACATTTTATGTGACGTTGTGGAAGTTCGATAAAACTCCCCGAGGCTAAATTTCCTCATCTAGAAAATGAGGAAAGTTCTATCTATAAATGTGTTATGTAGGTTAGTTAATGTCTGTGAAAGGGCACTGAAATAAACAAAAGTCTAAATAAATCACATAACTTTATTTCCAGACTGAAAGATTGTATTTATTTAGGAAGCTTTAACTCACAAAGTATTTTACTATTCATAAAATTCCTAGAAAGATCTTCATAAGACAATTTACTCATTCAGGAACTAAGCACCCACTTTGTATAAAGTATTACTGGCCCTGAAGCATTGTGTTGAGGAGAGGGAATATATTCACATGCATACAAGATAAAAATTGCCAATAAATCTGGTACAAGCAATATGTGCTCAGGAAGTACAGAAAGCAGGCATAATTTTTAGGTGAACTTAACCAAAGCTGCTACCAGCAGGTCTAATTCTATCTGAGGACCGAGGTAGAAAAGGCCAGGACATGGAGTGAAACTAAACAAAGAAACACATGGAACATTTGCTCAGCCAAGAGGTATGAACAGAAATAAGACAAGGAGACACGGCATATAAGAGTTGATGTCCATGTGATTCTAAGTGGGACCTGGAGCAGGTGGTAGTGGGTGCTACAGAGCTGGGTATTTCCATATTCCAAGCGATCAGGCACCCAAATGATGAACCTGAACACAGAAAGACTGAGCAATAAGTGTCAGAACCCAGCATGAATTGGCAAGGTCTCAGAAATACATCGGTGCAGAGGTGTACAGCAGTTTGTAAGATAAGCAACAGTAAGACTAACTTGAAGAGTGTCGAGTACATAGGAAAAGGAGCCAGGGGACTGGAGATTGAGAAGCCAGGATTTTAATAGCATCTTGTGTCACTCATTGTGTGACATTTGACAAGATGGCTTACTCTTCTGTGCTCAGTTTTGTTTTTATTTTTGTTATTTAATTAGTTGATTTTTTATTTAGGTTTTTATTTTTTATATTGATTCTACTTATTAATTTGTATTCCCATGCAAGTTTTTAAATATTCTATTATTTCTGACAAACAAAGTCATAAGGCAGGAGTAGCAGAGAAGTATAGAGTGCAGAAAGCTGATCAGTTCTTAACAGTGAGCTAGACAGATATTTAAATAGCAGTAGAAATGAATTTGCAGCCAGACTGGTATTTTCCATAAGGTTTTATTTAAATCCTTTCTCTGTTTTCTAGGATAAGAGGCTTATGGGATCATTTGGAAATAGGAATTCAGTTTGCTTTGGACAGGTCTGCAGTGTCTTTGCTATATAAAAATGTAAAACCAAGACTTTTTCCTGATTCTTGTTATTCTATCAAGTAGGACATAACAAACACGATTCTCATTGTGTGGGGCGGGGCTGTGTTTGCAGCACTCTGATACAGATGTGGCAGGCGGCGGGTTCTGAGGCAAGCGTGGCCCCTCATGTGCTGAAGACAATCTTATTGATACTGAAAGGAAAACCTGGGGAAATGGAGGACACCCTAACGAAAGAAAAACGTCTCTCTCCTGATGTTACCGACTTAATGCCTTTGGCGGTAAATAACACGATGAGTGTTTCTTCTTCTCAGTATTGTTTTCCTGATTGTGAAAAATCCCTATCTGCCCACAGACTCAATCATACTTTCTTAACACAGTCCTCTTCTCATGCATCCATTCATGCAACACATATTTATTGAGTGTTATTATGTGCTATGCCCTATTATGGAGTTTATTTTGGTAAGAAACACAGACAATGAACAAATAAATGTCATGTAAGTCAGATGGTATAAAGCTAAAAGAGATATATAGTGGTGTGGAGGAAAGAAAGGGACTGGCAAGATTTAGGTGAGTTGGTCAGGGCAGACCTCTCTGCTGAGCTGGCTCTAATCCAGAGACCTGAATCAGGTGAGGATGTGATCCTTACATATATCTGAGTTAGAGAGTTCTAGACTAGGAGAAGGGAAAAGTCTCTATTGATGGACACTTACCTAGTATGTCAGCAAATACAAGGAGGCCAAAGAATCTAAGTGAATTGGGCAAGGGAGATGAAAGCATAGGAGATATGAGAGAAGTAGCCACTGGCTACATCATATAGGCGTTTGTAGCCATGTAAAGACCGAATCTCATTTGTGTCCATCATTTTATTCTCCTGAAAACCAAAATCACCACTCCGGAGGTAAAGTCTTACAGAGACAGGGTATTATAAAGTTGGCATTGCTTCAAAAATGTGATATGTTGGAATATGTCTTTCTACAATGCCAATTACAATCCCTAAAGGCAAAATCCTGAACACCATAATCCTGAATATTGAAATTCAAAATATCAAAATCCCAAAAGTCTAAAATTTCTATCATCTAATTGAATTCCCAAACTGTAATGACATGTTTGGAATTAGGTGCAATCAAGGCTTCTAAAAGTGAATTTCAAGTTGTCACTAATAAAGTTTGTTTTTTTCCATTCAGTCCAAAGCATTTCTAGAAAAATTCAGATGAGGAGATTAGCCAGGCAATATGACAATGATGAAAACTTTAGTGGTAAAATATGTCATTTGTTTGCATTGACATTCCTTCCAGCTGATGAAATCCAGGAGCTTTTGATAAATTAAAGCCACATTTGCCTTGAATAAGTCAGAAAAGTTACTGACTGGTTTGAAATTAATTATGTGTACAGTAGGAGAAGACACTTATGCAATGTGTTGCTGTTCAATCACTAGTATTGTTTTCTTCAAATCTGTGGTCTTTCTATGAGTGCATGTGAAATAGATTTCTGCATGCCAAAACAACATAAAAGCATGGCACAGAAGATGGGAAAATTGAACAGGGAATGCTCGAATTAGTGTATGTCAAACCACAGAAGAATTTCAAAAAGAGTAGCATCACATATGAAATGAATGTGAACATATTCTCCAGGGAGAGCCATGCCCTAAAAGAAAAAATAACAGCCATTCATCATAATAAAGGACTTCAAGATATAATTAATGATCATAAAAGTTGACCAGCTCTTATGAACCACCTCGATGCAGCTGCCCATAATTTATTCCTATTGTTTTTATGTTGAATTTTCTTTTTAGTGTGTTTTTTATTTTCTTTTTAATGTATTTTTCTCACTACTTTAAGTTGTCAGCATTATTTTTTCCAATTTGCTATACTACATATTTCATTTCCTATATTGGAGATAAAAATGGTGTAAAGACTTTTAGAGGGTTCTAATTATTTTTATGCATTTTTTTTTTTTTTGCAAATTTGTCTCCATGAAGATGCATTGTCACTATATTGACTTTGTGTGTAAGCATTGCACTTATACATAAAAATGTTGAAACTTCCTCAATAAATGAAGTGATGCATTTTTGTATCTTTGCTTTTTCTGAGAAAGATAAAATTTATTGAGATCTCGGCTCTTTGGGTGACTGCATGTGTGGTGGTGATCCATTGGTCTGTCTTGTCAAAAGACTTAGGTTGTCCACCAAGGGATTTCAGATGACCACGGTTATATAAGCTATTTCTTTATGATTGTGGTTTGTCTGCCCATAACTGTTACCCATGTGACTGTTGTTAGTATACCTAAGTGTTTATGTTTGGAAAAATGCGTATATTATTGCCCAATTTATTGTGTAAAATGACCTATGAAGTTTTCTGTCACGTTTTCATGTTTCTCAAATGTCATTTTAATTTTTTTAAAAACTTCCATTTTTGTAGGTACAGAGTAGGTGTATATTTTTATGGGGCACATGAGATGTTTTAATACCAGCATGTAATGTGAAATACATACATCAAAGAGAATGGGGTACCCATCCCCTCAACCATTTATTTGAATTATAAACAATCCAATTACACTATTTAAAAATGTATGATTATTATTGACAGTAGTCACCTGTTATGCTATTAAATAGTCTTATTTATTCTTTCTAACTATTGTTTTATACCCATTAGCCATCCTCACCTCCCCCATCCCACTAGCCTTTCCCAGCCTCTGGTAACCAATAAATCTCATTTTTAAGAATATAAACACATGTCTTTAAAATTTTTAAATTATTTTTCCCCAGTTATATTTTTGGGAGTTTGGTCTCCCAGGATTTCAATATTCAGGATTATGGCAGTTAGGAATGTGTCTTTTAAGATTATAGCCCAAACCCATACTTCTGATGTGGTGGGTATTGCAGTGGTCAGTATGCCAAATGATCTGTTGGTGACCTGACCTGCCTTCCCCTTAAATATCTCACTTCCCTGTATTGTTTGAGCACAGGAAGGACCTAGGTTATTAGTATGACTGCTCTTCATGGCCACATAGGAAGGGGATCTTAGGAAGGAAGCTCACCTTGGAAACCAGCCTGCATCCCACTGGTTTGGTATCCAGGGTGTTTGTATAGTGCCTTAAGGAGTCCCTTACCATAGTAGGCTTGGCACAGTTCCCAGCTCACAATTGATGTAGCAGCTGTTATTGAATGAATGGATACCCATATATGCTTTAGGTTTTTTTCAAGGAGGCTGAAGGAGGGGTTGCAGAGTCACTCCCTTGCTCCCCTCAGTAAGGTCGAGTGGGTTTAGAGAAAAATGTTTACATTTCTACCCCCTATTTCCTTCCCTTGTAGGCATCCCAGGCCCTGTACACCTTTCTGCCTCTTGGTTCCTACAGGAAAGCGGTGGCCCAGTTTTTCCCCCAGCTCTTGATGACCCTTATGTTCCAAGTCTTCTACAGCAATGAGCTGAAACTGACACCAAGGAACAATGCTTTGTGAGCTAATACTGGTTATTTCAGATTAAATAAGAGATAAGCATCCAGCTGTCAATACTTCTACCCCCTTGGGTTCATATGGGATTCTTTACAGTCCCATGTACAGTGTGTTCATTTATTACAGTTTTCTCTTCTCTGAATGGTAGAATGCATTCAGAAAAGTAACCAGCCTGAGTACCTAAAAGTTAGCTCACCTCCCCTGAGCATGTGTAGCATATAAAGAGCCATGACCACAGAACTCTGTTGATTCCTACCACACTCTCTATCAGATCAGTAAGAGACTACCACAGAAAAGACAGCAGAGCATTAAATCCAAAGTCAGATACGTTTTTGCTCTGCCATTTACTTACTTTCTGCTAGTAACCTCTCAGGGTTATTATACATATAAGATTAAAAATGATGTGCTCAAATGTACTTTGTGAACCGTAAAGTTAATTCATGTTTGGAGATGTGATATATGAGTTTATGACTACATGCAGTTGTCTGTCCACAGAGAAGTTTGGCAATTCCTTTTTGCTCAAGAGAGTACAGTTGATTTTGCTACCCAGCAGAGAAATCTCAACCCAACTGTCTACTATTTACCCTATTTCTATAAGGAAGACATACATCAAAGCATCCCAACTAGATGAAAATATATCCTATTTATTTAATAGAAGAAAATGGATACTTTAGCAAGTCATTGCATCATTGGAACATCTCTTTAAAATTAATCTATCGCACAAATAAGCTAGTAATAATAACAAATAAGCTGTTCTGCGATTGATGCTAGGATTTTATGTGCCACAATTTTAATTTAACCCCTATCCCATGTATTGTTATCAGGGAAGATGAAGGACATTTACAATCTTTTTCCTTTGGACATCCCCTTCTCAAACCTATATCTGCCAGATGGGATGAAAGGGAGGTAATGTGATTTAGTTTTTTTTGAATATCACTGACATGATGGTCCGTGCTCTCTTTGGGGCTTTTAGATATGCTCAGGATGCCCTGAGTCTCCTGGATTGTCTGGACTGCACAGGTTGGGAATATTACTCTAAACGAGGGAATTCTGGGACCCATTATCTGAAGAGCTGTTCTACTATTATGGTTTACTTTATTGTAAGTAAGACAGGGGTCCTGGTGTGGATCTGGTCTCTATCCCCCCCTTCTCCACTTCCTTCAAATAAGCCATGGGACAAATATGGCATCATTCCACTTTCAGTCTCTTTCTTAAATGATATGAGTGCATTGGATTTCTACTTCTTTCAGTTATTTGGAAGGGTTTTTATTGGGTTTTCCCTTTTTCTCCTCTTAACCTGAATGATAGGATGTCCCTTTCCTCCCTCCACAGAACAGGTTTCCTTTTTTACGATACAGAAAACTAGAAGGGGTTTGGGTTTCCCCTTCTGATTTTTAGCTGTTCCCTGCACTGCCTAGGCATCAGTTTTAAATGGGTTTCCACGTGAACGGAGGGTTCCATAAACCGTATACTGAATAGCCAAATAATTTGGAAAAGAATAGTAGAAGAACACTTTTATTTTTCTTGTACTAGAAAGGGGGTTTTCTAGTTAACCCTTTAGTGAACAGCAAGTTTCTATATTGTAGGGATCAGATTTTCTGATCAAGAATCGAAATACGAGCTGTTGACAACATGACAGACTAAGACTACTTCAAGTTGTGACTGACCCAGAAACTACACTCTTTGTGGTCTATGGGGCCTTGGTGCTTTTATAACAGAATCTCATTTGCAAATAGATTTCAGGGGCACATGCTGTGTAAAAGTGTAGTACATCTGTACCCTGCAAGTTGTCACAAGCTGAATGTCACTCTAAGGATATCTAAGAAGTAACTTTGGATCTCTTACTCAAAAAAGTGGGGTCCACAGACAAGCAGCAACAGCATCACCTGAGAGTTAAAAATTCAGAATCCATGGCCACTTAGACCTACTGAATCAGAATCTGTATTTTCCAATATCCCCAGGGTGATCTGTTTGCACGTTGCAGTTTTAGAAGCACTGGTTTCGAAGACCAACCAGGAATCTTAAAATGGAAACTTTCTCATGTTATCCTTAGCCATTCTGCCCTTACTGATCTGATCCAGTCCACAATGTCAGGACAAGTGTGAGGCTGTCCACCCACCCAAATGTGTTTTGGAGAATGTGAATGGCATAGTGAATCAGAGATAACCACCTCTTTTCCTGAGTAATCCAGGGCGGTCCCAAACTCTCATCGGCATTACAGCCATTCCAAAAGAAAAAGCTTGGTCCAAAACCACAAAGATGACCTGTATGCAGCCATCTTGGACTGAGCACTAAATTTTTATTTTCTCTCCCTTTAGTCGAGAATTGGTGGGAGCTCACACTAAAATAGGGCATTCTGTTCTGTGGCAAAGGATGGGAGAGACAGGAAAGAGAAGTGACATTAAGGAAAGAGATGTTGACAGGGATCCAGTTATATGTAATTCTCCAGAGTATGTGTAGAATTCATAGTGGGACTACAATTTATTTAGGGACTATTAAAGAGTATATTTCTTTCTATCTGGGAGGTACAAAATAGAATAATGTTTCTCTCTTTGCCACTATTAGCATAGTGTTTTCTTCTTTGCTATTTCAGTGCCTTATTCTCTTTTACAGAACTCTCAGTGAATATAACTTTCCACAGTTTCCGGAGACTCTGCGTTATCTCTATAAGCTCTCAGTAGAAGGTCCTAGAAGGTCAGAAGACCATGTCATCGTAGTAATATTCCTCACCGAAGTGAGTTTTGTAGACTGTGAACAGCTGTGTTCTCATTTCCTTTTCTTACCCCAATTTAAATCAAAATTCCAGTTTCTCATATTTTTCCCTCTGAATGTTGGTCCTTACCAAGACTTAAGATCATGAATGATTTCTGAAGTTGGATGGGGAGAGGTGTGGGGTTAGATCTGGGTTATGGAAGAGTTGTCCCTTCAGCTTTCACCAGCAGTTGGTTTTTCTCTGTTTCTAGGGGTGTGAATTTTTACAAACACTAATTATATTTTAGTACCAGTTTATATATTTCTGCATGATTGTTAAAGTATATTGAGGGATAATTGGGTTTAATAAAGATGGTAGTTAACATCTGGGATCTAGGCAGTACTTCTGACCATCTAGGGGGAGAAGGGAACTGGCTGAGTAACTGGGTAAAATGAAGATGTAGAACCATACTACTTTGTATATGAATATTGTGCCATGTATTGTAATACTATAATGGAATCAAGTAAATTGACAAACTCTTGTTTACAAAATATAAAGGCTTTATAACCTGAAATTATCAGAGTCAAATCTAATTTTTTTTCATAAAAATAGTAATATAATAGGCATGTATTACCTAAGGTGAAGTGCCCAATATTTTCAAAATTTGAGGTGATTTCAAACATCATAGTAAAATGGTTAATTAATTATGAAAAGTGTACTATTATACTATACCATCTACTTCTAAAGCTTTCAAAAGTATGCATAAATTTAACTGAACATTGCAATAGTCATCAATGATTTCAAATATGCTTAGTCTATTTTGACCTCTCATTAATTTTACTATGTGACTCATTATTTTTATTGAATTGACTATGCTTTGCCCAGTGTCTATTATTGGCTTATCAATCTTTAGTTGACTATTTATAGGTGGATTTCTTTTTTTCCCCCAAAAGTTATTGGGGCACAGGTGGTATTTGGTTACATGAGTAAATTCTTTAGTGGTGATTTGTGAGATTTTGGTGCACCCATCACCCAAGCAGCATACACTGTACAATATTTGTAGTCTGTTATCCCTCAGTTCTCTCCCACTCTTCCCCCCAAGTCCCCAAAGTCCATTGTATCATTCTTGTGCCTTTGCATCCTCATAGCTTAGCTCCCACATATCACATAGAACATACCATGTTTAGTTTTACATTCCTGAGTTACTTCACATAGAATAATAGTCTCCAATCTCATCCAGGTCACTGCAAATGCTGGTAGTTCATTCCTTTTTATGGCTGAGTAGTATTCCATCATATATATACATAATCATTTCTTTATCCACTTGTTGATTGATGGCATTTGGGTTGGTTCCATGATTTTGCAATTGGGAATTGTGCTACTATAAACATGTGTGTGCAAGTTTCTTTTTCAAATAATGTCTTCTTTTCCTCTGGGTAGATATCCAGTAGTGAGATTGCTGGATCAAATGGTAGTTCTACTTTTAGTCCTTTAAGGAATCTCCACACTGTTTTCCATAGCGGCTGTACTACTTTACATTCCCACCAGCAGTGTAGAAATGTTCCCTGATCACCGCATCCACACCAACATCTACTGTTCTTTGATTCTTGATTACCGTCATTCTTACAGGAGTAAGGTGGTTGGCCATTTGTATATCCTCTTTTGGGAATTGTCTATTTATGTGCTTAGCCCACTTTTTGATAGGATTGTTTTTTTCTTACTGATTTGTTTGAGTTCGTTGTAGACCCTGGATATTAGTCTTTTGTCAGATGTATAGATTGTGAAGATTTTCTCCCACTCTGTGGGCTGTCTGTTTACTCTGCTGACTGTTCCTTTTGTCATGCGAAAGATCTTTAGTTTAATTAGGTCCCAGCTATTTATTTTTGTTGTTGTTGCATTTGCTTTTGGGTTCTTGGTCATGAAATCCTTGTCTAAGCCAATGTCTAGAAGTTTTTTTTCCAATGTTATATTTTAGAATTTTTATAGTTTCATGTCCTAGGTTTAAGTCCTGAATCCATCTTGAGTTGATAATTGTATAAGGTGAGAAATGAGGATCCAGTTTCATTCTCCTATATGTAGCTAGCCAATTAACCCAGCACCATTTGTTGAAAAGGATGTCCTTTCTCCACTTTATATTTTTGTTTGCTTTGTTGAACAATGGGCTGTAAGTATTTGGGTTTATTTCTGAGTTCTCTCTTGTGTTCCATTGGTCTATGTGCCTATTTTTGTACCAGTACCATGCTGTTTTGGTGACTATGGCCTTATAGTATAGCTTGAAATCAGGCAATGTGATGCCTCCGGATTTGTTCTTTTTGCTTAGTCTTGCTTTGGCTATGCGGACTCTTTTTTGGTTCCATATGAATTTTAGAATTGTTTTTTCTAGTTCTGTGAAGAATAATGGTGGATTTTGATGGGGATTGTGTTGAATTTGTAGATTATTTTTGGCAGTATGGTCATTTTCACAATGTTGATTCTACTAATCCATAAGCTTGGGATGTGTTTCCTTTTGTTTGTGTCATCTATGATTTATTTTAGCAGTGTTTTGTAGTTTTCTTTGTAGAGGTCTTTCAACTTCTTTGTTAGATATATTCCTAAGTATTTTATTTTATTTTTTTTGCAGCTATTGTAAAAGAGGTTGAGTTCTTGATTTAATTCTCTGCTTGGTCGCTATTGGTGTAGAGAAGAGCTACTGATTTATGAACCTTAATCTTGTATCTGGAAACTTTGCCAAATTCTTTCATCAGTTCTAGGAGCTTTCTGGAGGAATTATTAGGGTTTTCAAGGTAAATGATCATATCAGCAGCAAACAGGAACACTTTGACTTCTTCTTTACCAATTTGGATGCCTTTCATTTCCTTCTCTTGTCTGATTGCTCTGGCTAGGACTTCAAGTACTATGTTGAAGAGGAGTGGTGAGAGAGTATTGTTCCTTGTATTGTTACAATTCTCAGAGGGAATGCTTTCGACCTTTCCCTATTCAGTATTATGTTGGCTGTGGGATTTTCATAGATGGTTTTTATTACATTAAGCTATATCCCTTGTATGCCGATTTTGCTGAGGGTTTTAATCACAAAGGGATGCTGGACTTTGCCAATTGCTTTTTCTGCATCTATTGAGATGATCATGTGATTTTTGTTTTTAGCTCTGTTTCTGTGGTTTATCGCATTTATTGACTTGTGTATGTTGAACCATCCCTGCATACCTGGTATGAAACCCACTTGATCATAGTGGATTATCTTTCTGACTTGTTGTTGAATTCATTGAGCTAGTATTTTGTTAAGGATTTTAGTATCTTTGTTCATCAAGGATATCGGTCTGTAGTTTTCTTTTTTGGTTGTGTCCTTACCTGGTTTTGGTATTAGGGTGATGCTGGCTTCATAGAATGAATTAGGGAGGGTTCCTTCTTTCTCAATCTTGTGGAATAGTGTCAAAAGGATTGGTACCAATTCTTTTTTGAATGTTTGGTAGAATTCTGCTGTGAACCCATCTGGTCCTGTACTTTTTTTTGTTGATAATTTTTTAATTACTGTTTCAATCCCTCTGCTTATTATTGGTCTGTTCAGGGTATCGAATTCTTCCTGATTTAAGCTAGGGGGTTTACATTTTTCCAGGAATTCATCCATCTTTTCTAGATTTTCTAGTTTATGTGCATAAAGGTGTTCATAGTAGCCTTGAAGGATCTTTTGTATTTCAATGGTGTCTGTTGTAATATCTCCTGTTTCATTTCTTAGTGAGGTTATTTGGATTTCCTGTCTTCTTTTCTTGGTTAATCTTTCTAATCATGTATCAATTTTGTTTATCTTTACAAAGAATCAGTTTTTTGTTTCATTTACCTTTTGTATTTTTGTTTGTTTGTTTCAATTTCATTCAGTTCTGCTGTGGTCTTGGTTATTTTCTTTCTTTGGCTTTGTTTGGGTTTGGCTTGTTCTTGTTTTTCTAGTTCCTTGAGGTGTGATCTTAGGTTGTCTTTTTGTGCTCTTTCAGACTTCTTTATGTAGGCATTTAGGGCTATGAACTTTTCTCTTAGCACTGTCTTAGCTGTATCCCAGAGGTTTTGATAGGTTGTGTCATTATTGTAATTCAGTTCAAAAGTTTTTTAAAATTTCCATCTTGATTTCATTTTTGACCCAATGCTCATTCAGGAGCAGGATTTAATTTCAATGTGTTTGCGTGGTTTTGAAGGTTTCTTTTGGAGTTGATTTCCAGTTTTATTTCACTGTGGTCTGGGAGAGTGCTTGATATAATTTCAGTTTTCTTAAATTTATTGAGGTTCATTTTTTGGCCTATCATATATTCTATCTTGGAAAAAGTTCCATGTGCTGTTGAATAGAATGTGTATTCTGTGGTTGTTGGATGAAATGCTCTGTATATATCTGTTAAGTCCATTTGCTCCAAGGTATAGTTTAAATTCATTGTTTCTTTGTTGACTTTGTCTTGATGACCTGTTTAGTGCTGCCAGTGGAGTATGAAGTCCCCCACTATTATTGTGTTGCTGTCTATCTCATTTTTTAGGTCTATTAGTAATTGTTTTATAAATTTGGGAGCTCTAGTATTAGGTGCAAATATGTTTAGGATTGTGATATTTTCCTGTTGGACAAGGCCTTTTACCATCATATAATGTCACTCTTTGTCTCTTTTAACCACTGGTGCTTTAAATTTTATTTTGTCTGATATAAGAATAGCTACTTCTGCTCACTTGCAGTGTTCATTTGCATGAAATCCCCTTTTCCATGCCTTTACTTTAAGTTTATGTGAGTCCTTATGCATTAGGTTGGTCTCTTGAAGGCAGCAGATAGTTGGTTGGTGAGTTCTTATTCATTCCGCAGTTCTGTATCTTTTAAGTGGAGTGTTTAGGCCATTTACATTCAATGTTAGTGCTGAAATGTGAGGTACTATTGCATTTGTCATGCTCTTTTTTGCCTGTGTACTTGTTTTTTTGTTTTTGCTTTTTAACTTGTATTTTTGTTGTATAGGTCCTGTGTCATTTATGCTTTAAAGAGGTTCTGTTTTCATGATTTGTTTTAAGGGTTAGAGCCCCTTTTA